AGAGACGAGAGAAGAGGAGAAGAGAGAGAGAAAGAGGAGAGAGAGAGAGAGAAGAGGGAGAGATGAGAGGAAGGGAGAGAGAGAGAGAGAAGAGAAGAAGAGAGGAGAAAGAGAGAGAAAGAGAGAGAGAAGAGAGGAGAGAAAGAGAGAGAGAAAGAGAGAAGAAAAGAAAGAGAAGAAGGAGAGAAAGAAAGAGAAACGAGAGAAAGAGAGAAAGAGAAAGAAGAAAGAGAAAGAGAAACGAGAGAGAAGAGAAAGAGAGAAGAGAGAGAAAGAGAAGAGAAGAAAGATGAGAGAGAGAAAGAGAGAGAGAGAGAAAGAGAGAGAGAGAAAGAGAGAGAGAGAGAAAGAGAGAGAGAGAAAGAAGAGAGAGAGAGAAAAGAGAGAGAAAAGAGAGAGAGAGAAGAGAGAGAAGAGAGAGAGAGAGAGAGAGAGAGAGGAGAAGAGAAAGAGAGAGAGAGAGAGAGAGAGAGAGAGAGAGAGAGAGAGAGAGAGAGAGAGAGAAAGAGAAAGAGAGAGACTTGTATAGATACACATGTATGTAAGGCCTTCCCAGTACAACGGGTTAATACATCCTTTTCAGATTTGGTACAAAATTTAATTCTTCTAACAATCTTTTCAACACAATGGGTCAAATGTACCCTATGTTGAAAGTCACTAACAGACTGTAGTGAAAAAATATTTTCCCCACCTGACGGAAATCTTGTGGGTAAGATATAGACAACTTGTTCCTCGGCTGTGTAACAAACGGTGAGAGGATGCTGGGTAGCTTGTGGTTCGAGCCATTTGGGAGATGTTCAAGACTTCCTGGAATGATTAAAATACTATTAGGCTTGTACATGTTACAGACATAAGATACACTGCCTGATAGTTCATTTTTCTAATAACAAACACGTATAAATAAAAATATGTGTATATGTATGTATATATGTATGTATGTGTGAGTATGTGCATACATAAGTGTATACATTCTTTTTTTTATAGATATAAGTGTGTATGCAGGAATATATATATATATATTTCCCATGCCTCCGTTGCCTTGGCTGAAGGATGCATGCACATCTCTGCAGCTCATTCATTTCAACTTTTTATTATGTCTTTTTAGTTAATGTCACATTGAAGATGGGTGAAGTCAACCCAAAATGTTTGTGTTTTTTCCACTGTCTATTAAACTGAAGAAGTTCTTCACTAATTTTGTCAACCCTGAAAATGTTTTTTCTGGAAACGTTGGTGTTGAGATTTATCATACTCCTCCGCTTCCCACTTGGAAGTTCCATGGGAACTGTTATATATATACACATTACTTTGCCTGGTATTAGTGAAAAAATATAAATAGACTATATGTCTGAGCAAACTAATAGATATTACTGTGCCAGTCCACATTATACCTTTTAACAAAATTAATCCTTTTGTATTGTTTTCCTCATATTTTTTCTGGTTCATATTACTGATGAATAATGGGATCCCTGTACATATCGAGATACTCGTAGATCTTACTACTTGATAAACAGATTGACCCTTATGATCCGAATGACGTGACCATTCCATCATGGAAAATTTGGGTTGAGGGCCAGGTGAGCATGCCATCAACGGACAAAATGTCTGGGCTGGGTGACACAAACATGCCGTCAAGAAAGTAGGCCTGGGTGATGGAAAAGACTCGCTACAAGTGCAAACCTCTTGGAGTGAGATTAGACTCATTTGGTTCTTGGAAGAGGGTTTTTTCATTATTCCCATCAATAAACAAGTGTGCAATGTAATGTGCATAAGACATGACTGGCAGAGCACTGCCTCCAGGGAGGACCTCATTTCCATGCTCAGCATCATATTCCTGACTGTTGTGACATAGTTTATATTACAGAAAATTGAAAAAAAAAATAATAATAACAAATAAAAAATAAAATATATGAAATAAAAAGCAAATTGTTACTTTATTCTTTCACCCAGTTATTTACTACATAGAGATATGGTATGGAATAAGTACAAAGAAAATGATCTATTATCATCAACATAAAGCAAACCAAAATATAAATATGGACCATAAAAAATGGTAAAAACACTAAAGAAGTTTATGCAAGGTGGAATCATAGAGTATTGTCACCGCATAAAAGTATTCACATGCACCCGGCCTGTGTGCTGCATGGCTGAAATAGCAGCCACTATGTAAGCCACTGCCTGTATTTTCTGCCAAGTGATTGCAACAACCAGCTCCAAAGGGTTAATAGAGAGAAAGTACCACTATGTCAATCTTACCTTTATGCTGGATGATGACTCTGAGAAGTGGTCTTGAACACTGAAGAGCTTTCCTGAAGTTATCATCGTTTGTAATTGGAAGAAGATCCCCATCCCGAGGGTCAGTGTAGGCTAGGACAAAAGAAGTACTTTGTAGTCGATGTAATTCTTCAACTAATGTGCGGAAGTCTTCAAGTCTCTCATACTTGTCTCTCTCTACACTGAATCGTCTAAATTCTGCATCAAACTGTTGAAGTAAACATAACAAAGCAAAACATTAATACCATACATATAAAATCAATATGTCAAACTGAATTTTCAACATTCAATAAGGCTACAGTGTGGTCCCTTTTTCCTTGAATTCATTCCCTTACCAATTGTTTATTAACTACATCATGAATGGGCCTGAATTTTCTGTGATGTAATATTACACAACAGTCTAGACTTTGTGGCTAGTCCTATGCCTATATATGCCTATGGCGTATACACATCGTTGGCCATTATATCGTGACAGTTATAGTTGCGCCCAGAATGAATAGTTACAAGCTCTGCTTTAACATCACAAGCTTCTTTGCATGGACTTTTTCAGAGGGACTTTTATTTGGCAGGTAGAGATTGCCGACATTCATACTACACATTGTCAGCACAAATCTATCTGCTCATTTGAAAATGTAAATAAAAGAAAATGCAAAACACATTCATCATAATTCACAAAATAAAGTATTAAAAATTCACATAGGATGTTTAAAGTCTTGGCAATTGGAAAATTAAATAATACAGATAGAAATTTTTGATGCTCAATACCCTCAAAATATTCTAGCCATCTCATATTCAGTTAATATAGCACCTACAGTACTCAGGACTGAGGAGGAAGAGGATATAGATCCTGTATCCAGCTCTGCCTAAGCATGACCAAATCCCTCCTAGGCTGAAAATGCCTTTCAAGGATTACATTTTTCAGGATTTTCACATCACGGATGATGGAACACATCACCTCACGAACAAACCTCTATGCAAAACAGAAAGATCTGAAGACAAACTTCAAGACCATGAAAAAGAAGTTCTGAATCTCCTTGATATCCTTTTCTAAGGAAGCACCACCTTAGAGTGCCACAACTTCAAGCTTAGCAAGGAGGGAGAGGGCATAGAAACGAGCTGTAAAATCTTGTTAGGTCTGATGAGCACCATCCCCATGGCCTCAACCAATATGATCTTTGAAAATAACTACTTCAGCTTCCTGAAAATTGTAGGCTACTGGAAAAGCTCAGCACTGTCCTGTTGAACATCTCCAATGGGGTCTGCATTATGCCTTTGTGACTAAACACCAAATGAAGGAGGAAACATAGCCTTATATTGCAACCTAGTCATTTGTGATCCCCCAAACGTCTTGAAGGACTAAACATCTTTTTCAGTTTATTGTGCTCTAATATGCATAATTTTCATTTCTGTATAAACCTGTGACTAAAGGAAGCATGTATTTTAACTTCTAGGTCCTTGCTCATCCTTAACCTGTTGCCGCCAGGTGGCACGTACGTACATGCCATGGCTGTGTGGACCGAACGCTGGGGGGCATCATGTCATGCCCATTCCCACGCCACTGGCTCGTCGGACGGAGGTTATTTTTCTCGATAGTAGCAGCTTCATTTATATGGTAAAGATTTTAGGCAATGGCACCTATAATAAAGGCAAACCTTCAAAATTTTAATATTCTTATAAATTTTAGCAAAATAAAAGCTTGTAGGTGCTAAATGTCGCTCGCAAACAATTGATCAAGCTGGGCGCAAATAGGGGAAACTGCCGATGCGCGCCAACAAGCCTGTGCATACATCCGCTTGCCAAAATTTTTAACCGTCGGCGATGGGTTAAAATCATAATGATTTTGATATCTATAATTTTGCTATGCTTTCTAACAAGTCACTGTTTTGGTCACTTTGTCTATCATAATTTGCTATCATGGAAAAGTGATAATCAAAAATATTAACACAAATAAAATTGTCTTAGAATATATTGGTTTCATTTTCTATATATGAATTTTCTAATTCTGTTTATTTCTATTTGTGCATAGTAAAGGATTAACAATCTAAGTTGCTGTGACTTGGCATGCCTTTCTGCACTGCCCGAAGGGAGAGTTGATGGGGGGAGGTCTGTCCTAGAGTGCATAACCAAGTGGACTTATGATGTGAGCAGTGTTATCAGCGATCTTTTTCCTTTCTGTGTGGCATTACTATTCTGGTCTGCAGATCATTTCTTATATTTCTTGATAGGGAAATACAGCAGTATAAGTTACTGACAGTGACACACAGAGATTGAGGGAAATGGAAACTGCCATTTTATGAAATGCATGAAACAGAGTCAACTGTATAACTGCAACAACCTCATATTTACCACCAAATGACAAAAATAGCCACTGCATATCACCACAAAGGGGCCATACTTTAAAAACATTTAAAAAGTGGCAGTTGAATGGAGGCGCTAGCAGTCTGGCACTCACAAGCAACTCGAATCCTCACTCTAAAACAAGGCAATGCCAGAGACCACCAGTGCCACTGCTGGCGTTCAGCCACCCGAAAAGTGGTAACTCCAACAACACAGACAACAAGCAAATCAAGACATGAAATTGGCATGAAATTTGATGCTTGACTTTTTCATCTAGGCTATCACTTCAAATACCAATAAAAAAATTCTTAAGGTACAGCTAATCTTATATAAAAAAAGGTGCATTCACAAGCACTTACACCTTAATACTGTCACACATATTCATAATCTTTCTAAAATATACAAGCAGGCATATACACATACACAGTATTTATAATCCTTCTCAGATGCCTATCTTACCCTTTATTTCCCCTCTCACTTTCATATTTGATTGTTAATAGTATTATAATTACGTTCATTTGTAGGAATAATAACCTATTGTTAAATGACCATATATATGTGAAAATTGTCAAAATTAATCTTCTCTAACACATATCAAATGCCCTATCCAATTCATGATTTTGAATGAATTGCATCATATCTTAGTTCAGAGTCTCTAGTAGGGTTGCTTATATTAGAAATAAGATATGAGGGCATACATAGAAGTTTTTCAAGCAAATATTCTATGCACTGAGTTTGCTCTAATTCTGTGCTGCAGTCAATGTCTGCTAAAAATCTTCTGTTTTACAGAGGACCACATATAATTCTAGCATAGGACCACATGTACACTGTCTTTATAATGCCAATTTCATCTGTTACACCAGGAAAATTAGTAATACCTGAAATTTTTTGACTGACTGTTTTCAGGGCTCTGTTGTCAGGTAGCAGACCTATCATTGGAAAGTGCTTGCATCGTACAGAAATATTTCTTGATACATATATTGACAAACTCTGAGATCATTCAAGATTATCAGCTAATTTCAACTGCAGTCCACCTGTAGCTATTCACCTCAAAGTAATAGGAATGGAACACCTATAAGTATTGAAAGTAATACCAACCCAATGTGTATGACCATACATAAATATATACAATTATATAAACAAACAAACACACACATACACACGCACACGCACACGCACGCACACATGCACACGCACACAGATGTGTGTGTGTGTATGTGTGTGTGTGTGTGTGTGTGTGTGTGTGTGTGTGTGTGTGTGTGTGTGTGTGTGTGGTGTGTGAGTGTGTATACACACAAATGCATACAATACAATTCTTAAGATGCGTAATATTTCGGCTATGCCCAGACTAACAAAATGGTAAATATTTGTTATTTGTACATGTTATCATTATGTTTTTCATACCATATAATGCGTATTAAAGATTGTGTAAATGCATTTGCTTCAAGTTCAACAAATTATGAAGAAATAACATTGAAATAGGCGAGGTGAGAAGTGTTGGGATAGATTCCAATATACGCAGTTAAGTCTTCTCAAAATATTTTGATTTTAAAAGAATTGTTCAATAATCATACAAACATAATCCAAATTTTCTGTTGTTTTCTGTTAGATATTCATTGTGTAGGCTTAACAGTAAAGAAGAAAACTGTTACACAGCACCATGAAAGACACATTCATGCTGGCACTCCACCACCACTCAGGTTCCAATAATATAACGCCAGTTCAGGGCGTCATAGCTAGGACGTTTAAAATACGAAACTGGTCCACCGCCACTGAACAACAGCACCAGTGGTGGCAGCATAGTTTTAAACCCTTAGAGACTAAATAGCTCATCTTGTTTACATAACAAGGAAAAGTACTACACTGACTGCTTAACTTATTACTGCAACATGCCAAGTAGTTCATGAGCTGGTATGTGCATGTCAAAATGATATTTGGCTAATCGTCAGTGTTTGAAAGGTTTTTGGTTTTTATGACAATATTTGTGGATTTCCTAATCTAACAATTTAAGTTTCTGTGACTAAGCATGACCTACAGGCACCGCCCCCACCATCGCGTGGTAAACATTCCCTTCGCTTCTTCACTTCTTTATATCTGGAAACGTCAAACTTTCATTTGCTTCTTTCTAATGTTCTGGATTGCTTTGTTTCTTGTCATTTTTTTTCGACATTTGGGGCTCTTGATGGGCTCAGATATCAAATTGGAATGATTACTGGTCTATTTCTTCTTTGAAGCTTGTATAGTCTCAATAACACAGAATCAACGCAACACTGGAAACGCAACATTTCTCACCAGCCTTCTGTCACGGAATGGTTGGTTAGCTTTGAAACCTTGCGGGAGGGGCCAAAGTCTGAAACGCACAATGCACAATCATTCTAAAAAACTGTATACATAAATCTTAACCCATTTATGACAGGTGTCCCATATATGAGACATCAGGAAAAATAAACATTACCGGCATTTCGCCAGTGTGACACTGGATCTGAGCTTACGCTCCAAATACGTTGTAGGCAGCAGCCGGCGTGCAGGCAGATTCCAGGCCGGCCCGTGCGCCAAATTTGTAGCCGCCCAGAAATATTATTTCGTCTTCATAATATACCGCCGTTAGTGGGTTAAAATACATTAAAAGATTTTAAAAGCATAAATGTATAACAGCAGACACTGATACCTAGCAAAATGTAATTTTAAAACGTACAAAGTAACACATGAACTACTTGAGATATCGCAGTAATAAGTTATATAGTCAAGTGTTTTGTTTTCCCTGGCAAGGTAAACAAGATGAGCGACAGACTCTGAGCAGTGATATGCATGGGATATTTTCATCATTTAGTGGTGGATATTAGCCCACTGCAGCTTAAACTATGTTGATTCTATTTCTTACACAATATAGGA